GCGCCCCCTGCCGGCGAAAGTGTCGGGAGCGCGGAACCCGTTTTTAAACGTGGTTTTGCGCTCCACTGCCGCCCTGCACACGTATATACACAGTGGCAGGGCGGCAAGCGGTTAAAACTGCCCCACTATGAAGTTAAGCATCAAGGCCATGGCAGTGTGTACTTACCCTTGCAGCTGCTATGTTCATTTAGAGGTAGGTGGTCAGGCAGCAGTTCTGTTTAATCATCCTCTTTTATGCCATTCCAACTATTAGGCACAATCTGGTCTTTCCCATTGCTCTCCTTGGCATGCATTACAGAACTTTTCTTGCAACTGTATCGCAGCAGGGTGGCTGATAACTTTGTCTTGCTGTGTCAACTTTTTAAACGTAAACCAGGCCAATTGCCTGTTATGGGTTTTAAAATAAATATATAATAGTGCAGCGCTATAAAACTAATTACCTCCAAACAGTGTAAGGATCAGAAAAAGATAAAAAAAAAAAAAAAAAAAAAAATATATATATATATATATATATATATATATATATATATATATATATATATACATGATACAGTGCTAGATTTTTTTTTTTCGATTTTTTTTTTTTTTTTTTTTTTTTTCAATTGTTTGATCACGTGTGTATATAATTTAAGATCCCCCTCCAATCCACATTTGAGAGATCACTTAATTAAAAATAAATAGTGCAAAACAGTGCGTGCATCCCTAACCAGGGATAAATTGCTAAAATGTGATCAGTGAACCACACTTGACAAAATTCCACAGTAAAACCCAAACACAAATCAGAGTCCCCGATATAAATGCTAAAATGAATACAGTCCAAAAACAAATCAAATCATGCTCCAAATATTCAAAACACATGCAGGTGGTATTTGTGTGGTCGTGGTCACAGGTGCAAATCCTCAAATGGCCAAAATGCCCCCTCACCTCCTTACAATGACCCCACAGGGCCAGCTCGCTTTAGGATCACACCATGATCCTCACAGGTAGTACTCTTTGTGGGTCAATCACCCACTTGTGGTAATCAATGGTGGCACTCACTCCTCTTCTTATAGGTCTCCTCCAGCCGCTGGCATCAGCAACACTTTTTACCCTCCACACAGGACCACAGTAATGAAACAAAAAGATCCTCCATGGTGTGATAACGTTTTAATGAAGCCAAATATAAAGATATAAAAATGCCCACTCACACATCTGTAATGAAACACTCGCCTTTACACCACACACTATGGGTGTACTGCGTCATACACCTGCTCTGCCCCTCCAGTGCTCACTGAAGCATTGGGCTCTGGAGCGGGTGGGAGTGACTGGCTCAAGCTTTTAGGGGCATGCACATTGTTGAGATCTCTGCAGAGCCTGGATCGGCTCTGTGATGTTAGCTGACAACAGGCTTTACCATTTGCCCTCCAGAGGATTTACTATCTGACCAGGCCATTTTTTGCGACACGGTGCTGCAGAATTTTAATTGACAATTGCGCAGTCATGAAACACTGCACCTGAATGAAATATTATGTCCTTTTTTTTTCTCATAAATGGAGCTTTCTTTTGGTGGTATTTGATCACCTGTGCGGTTTTTATTTTTAATATAAACAAAAAAAAAACCCCACTATTTTGAGGAAAAAAAATATTTTTTACTTTTTACTATTAAACGTCTTTATGGACCTTGCTTAGCGCACTGGTGCGCAGTCATGTTGGAACCGGAAGGGCCATCCCCAAACTGTTCCCACAAAGTTGGGAGCATAAAATTGTCCAAAATGTCTTGGTTTGCTGATGCCTTAAGTGTTCCCTTCACTGGAACTAAGGGACCAAGCACAACCCCTGAAAAAAAAAGCCCTACACACAATCTCCCCTCCACCAAACCTTACACTTGGCACAATGCAGTTAGGCAAGTGCCGTTCTCCTGGCAACCACCAAACCAAGCACGTCCATCAGACAGAGAAGTGTGATTTGTCACTCCAGAAAACAAGTCTCCACTGCTCTAGAGTCCAGTGGTGGCATGCTTTACACCACTGCATCTGATGCTTTACACCATTGCATCCGACGCTTTGCATTGCACTTGGTGATGTAAGACTTGGATGCAGCTGCTCGGCCATGGAAACCCACTCCATGAAGCTCTCTACACATTGTTGTTTTAATCTGAAGGCCACATGAAGTTTGGAGGTCTTTAGCTATTGATACTACAGACTGTTAGCAACTTCTGTGCACTTCAGCATGTGCTGATCTCACTCGTCATTCGTCATTCGTGGCTGAGTTGCTGTTTATACCCAATTGCTTCCACTGTGTTATAATACCACCAACAGTTGACCGTGGAATATTTAGTTGCAAGGAAATTACACGGATGGACTTTTTGCACAGGTGGCAACCTATCATGGTACCACGCTTGAATTCACTGAGCTCCTGAGAGTGACCCGTTCTTTCTCAAATGTTTGTAGAAGCAGTCTGCATGGAGTTGCTTTATTTTATACACCTGTGGTCATGGAGGTGATTGAACACCTGAATCCAATTATTTGGAGGGGTGTCCTACTATATTTGGCAATATAGTGTATATACCCTAGTTTGTAGACTCCATAACTTTTGCACAGACTAAATAATATTTACAGATTTGGGTTATGTTTTACCAAAGACATGTAGCAGGATACATTTTGGCCTAAATTTATGAAGATGATTAGCAAAATTTTATGACAGAAACCAAGAAAAACATGTTTATTTTCAATATTTTTGGTAATTTTTCATTTTTTATAGCAAAAAAAAAAAAAAAAACCCTACTGGTGATTAAATACCGTCATATCAAAATTCTATTTGTACCCAAATTAAATTATAATTTTTTTTCAGTGTTGCATGATCCAGCAATTGCCAGCTAAAGTAGCACGGTGCGGAATAGCAAAAAAAATGCCCTGGTCATGAAGTGGGTAAAACCTTCCGGAGGTCAAGTGGTTAAAGCCCTTTTTAATATTAACCAAATGCTCCCAAGTTTCTCACCTGGGGTACCCCAGTGATCCTCCCAACATTTTGTAGACCACAGGGACACTCCAGGAGGTAGACCAGAGCCCTGGTAGAGCAAGTAATAATGCTATATCTCCTTTGAGTGACACTTGTAAAAACAAAGTCCTGTCCTGTAAGTGCTATTAGGGCCTGCAACCTTGCAAACACCACACCTGCAACATAGGACATTCTAATTACTTAGGAGCATAGAATGGATGAAGGTTAAAAAAAACCTTGAGCCTATACAACCATTTTATGAAGGTTGTTTACACATTTTGGAACATATATAGCTCCCAATGTATTAGTGTCCTAGGTAACAACTTTTTTTTTAAAAATTGAAGGTTTTTACTCATGTCATAGGTGTGGTGTTTGTAAGGTTGCAGGCCCTGATTGCACTTGTACAGGATATTTTATTTCAAGTGCCTTTCAAAGGAGCTTTAGTATTGATAGTTTTATTACTTGCTTTACTAGGCCGGTGGTCTACTTCCTGGAGTGTCAGTGTGGTCTGCAATATGTGGGGAGGACCACTCCAGGTGAGAATTGGGGAGCATTTGGTTGATATTAAAGGTCTTTAAGGAACATGATCACTTCGTTTTGGGTGCACCATAACCAGAATCCCTCTGCTCTAAAGGTCATAGGAATAAACCGTTTCCTCATTGGAGGGGTAGTAATACCGCCAGGGGGATATGAGTTGAGGTCCTATGCTCCACATGGCTTGAATGTGGAGTGGCACCTCCACTGTTTTATCAACAGTCATTGACTCTCCCATGCACCTTTTCCTCTTTTCAATCATTTACTTATCTTCTAGTATTATTATTTAATTTTATCTAGTATGACATTTGACCACTAGAAGGATCCACTCTCAGGGATATTATCATTAGAAATGTAAACAGGTTTTTATTTATTGGTACATTTTGCATAGTGTATTGGAATACAGTTTTGTTTTAGAGGGCCTACATACCATGCCATTTATATTATAAGCAGTTTACCTCATTGGTGTTTTGGTCTGTGCCTGGCTGTTCGGTTCCGTTGATGCACCATATAAGCCTAGTGTTTGATGTTCCGGGTAGGCTGCGTTCCCCAGAAGTGTGATCTCAAAATCTGTGCTAGTTGTGGTGATCTATCTTAAAGTGATTGTAAACCCTTACCTCATAAAACAACCCATTTAGCTTAAAATAGAAATGAAAGGTAAAATTGTGTACAGAGATAAAAAAAAAAAAAAAATTATAAATACCTTTTTTCCTCTTTTTCACATACCCTCTGTTCACAGCTGCATAAGAGCTAGAGGAAGAGAAACCACAGCACACTGTTCCCAGTGAAAGACTGTTCGGGGGTGTCAGGACAGGCCTGATCATTGGAGGAAAGCAGCATAACTAGAGAAATAACTGAGCTATGTTCTCCTGCTTAGCGTGGTCAGTTTTTAATAGGAAAGCAGAGGGGCTGACATGAACACACAAGTATTTCACACAAAGGAAGCAGTACAAAGAGAACCAGATACTTTTTTATGCAAGTACATGAAACAGCAGGCACATATCAGGAATATAAAATGCTGGGTTTACATATCCTTTAATGTACAGTCTCATTAGCTTGGCACACACTGACTGAATCCAAGTGTCAACCTGCAGATCATAGAAAGCTTTAACCCAAAAAGCTTGCGTAGATCATAACATATGAACTTCACCTAAGTCAAAAAATCAATGTGTCTAACTCCTGCAGAATGCAGCACATGTGATGTATGGAGACTAAAGCATGAAGAAGGGTTGTATTAACTACATAGAACATCCCCTAGCTACTGAGTAAGGTAGGGACAAAATTATTTAAAGGCAAACACAATATAACATGATACTATCCATTAAAACCTATGATTTTCAAATAAAAAATAGTCAGTGCATGTGTAAAGAAGCTCAATAACACTATTACATTATGACTAGTATAGATATATCTTAACTATTTACAATTACCATGATATTTTTTATTGATTCTAACAAATGATCAAAATATATTTTTTCTTTTTTCCTCAGAACTAAAAGGAAATATTGTTCAGTCATTGCTAGATCAGAGTATGAAGCCACAAGACGTTCAAACGAATCCTGTCCGCAAGCAGTTAATTCTTCTTTTGGAAAACTTTGAAAAGCAAGCACAATCACTAAACATGGAAAATTATATATTTGATCATGTTCATCATTTTATTACGTACATTGACACTCTGGCAAAAGTTATTGTTCAAAGCATAAATTCAGACTTGGGTAAGTGGTATATAGCCATGGGGGTTATTGCTTATGGAAACACCTGTAAACAAACATACCTGGTCGAATACTGTATGTAATTTATTTTTGTTTCAGAGTCATTGGATATGAAGATAGGAAATCCTTTCATTCTTCTGCAACAAAAACCTTCCCAGTTGATCTCCTATTTGGTGTTTGAACGTCAAGTTCCTCCTGAAAGGTAATTCATTATTTCTCCCTGGTTTTCTAAGTTCTCTTTTATTAATATAGATCTTTAAAGCGATATACCTCTGCTTTTTCTTCATTATCTATTGCATTGTCTGCACAGCATGTTATCCTACACTGTAGGGCCGTTTCGTTTTCTGATATTTGGATGTCACGGGCTGCTTCCAAACCCATATTTTTAGGAGTTTTGGCTCAGTTCCCAGTGTATAATGACTCAAATTGTTTTATTTTAATTGAACAGTACAGGACAAAAGCTGTATATTCATAGAATCTGGGTTATAGGCTGGTATCTTCAGGAGATTGGACCCTGGCAAAGCTTTTTAGGACCTGACCCCTGGGCATCCCCCCTATAATCCTACCCCAATCTGTCAGTCCTCTGTTATTTGCTAGTGTTCCAAGGTGATGGACCTCTTCACCCTTAGGGCTCGTTCACACTTGACTGTTTTCCAACTCTTGTCAAGCGCCCCTTTAGCGTTTGACAAGCGTTGGTCCGGCATTTGCGGAGCGGTTTTTAACGCTCCTCAAACGCCGCATGCTGGTCCAGCGGCGGTTGCTTGGCATTTGCCGAGCGTTAAAAAAACGCCCCACAAACGCCTATAATGAAGTTTGAATGGTGTTAACGCTCCGCAAATGCCTCGCAACCGCGTCGCAACCGCACCGCAAATGCCAGCTGGGCGTTTGCGGAGCGGCACCATAGACTTGAATAGGAGGCTTCAACTCCTCCTGACTCGACCAGAGGCGTCCATTTTGCCGCGATGCTAACGCTCCCATGTGAACAGCACCATGTGCTGCAATGTGCAGAATTTTCACAGGCGTTTGGGAAACTGTAAAAACGCTTCCCAAACGCCTGACTGCCGCTTGCAAACGCAAGGCTAGTGTGACCGTAGCAGAGAAATAACACTTAGCTTAACTACTTTATTGTTTTTTGTTTTTTGTGTTTTTATAAAGCAGGAGTACTTTTATTGAAAGAGTTCAATACAGTACAATGGATTGCAGTCAAATGAAATCAAAGATCATTGGCATGGTGAGCATAAAACAAAAGGAATGGAAAAATTCCAGATAAACAATATCACTGCAGATATACAGTGTATCCATTTAGATATTCCTAACCAAACAATGATCCATTCTCACATGCAATTCCCAGGAAAAGCCAGGGCTCATTGAACCCAAAGGGATATATACACCAGGAGGGAGGAGGAGGGGAGGGTGATAAGGGGAGGAGGGGGAGCAGGGTAAAAGGTGCCTTACCATATCTCCTATGGGTGCAGAGCCCAAATACCAGAAGTGAACCCCACTACCGCGACGTCCAGGGGTGCCACACCTTGTCATATTTCCATGGACACCCTTGATTCATATAGGTAAGTTTATACATCGGAAGAGTGGCATCAGTCATGGCCTCCCAAGACAACACAGCAGGGGGTCCGCCAAGGTCCACTAAAACAATATTTCTTTCTTCGCATAGGATAATAGATAAGATATTCACAGTATCAGATGGTAAGAGTGTTGCTCATCCTCATGGATGCCAAGCAGCAAGGCCAGTTCAGGTGAAACAGACAGAGACATTTGCTAAAGATTAATCAGTTCAAAAAGTCAGAACATATGCCAATACGTTCCCAAGTGTAAGCAGCAGCGGGTACAAGCAGGGTTCCCCTCCGAATACATACTGTGGAGCGTCACAGGGGGTATAGTCATTTCTGTGGAAAAATGTTACCTGTATAAGTTTGTCCCTAGGGAAAATGACCAACTTGGGACCCTGTTCTGGACAATCCTCCCAGGCTTCCTTATCTAGGGAGGGGCTATAGTCCTTCCAGAATTCCCATAATAGGTCTCTTTTGGGGGAGTCCACACACAGTAGTGCCCCATAAAGGGAACATAAAGGTTTTTGTAAATCTCCCTGGGATAGCAGCTCCTCAATAGGGTTAGCCTGAAAGGTAAGTGGCTGTGAAAACTGCGCTTTGGTCACATGTTGCAACTGAAAGTAGCTAAACCATATCGCTTGCGGCAGGTGGAACAGACTAGAAAGCTGTGGAAAAGGCAGCAGGATTTCAGAGGACATAATATCAGTTAAAGTTTTAATGCCATACTGCGCCCATAGTTGGGATCCGGGATAGAGCAAAAATGAGAAAAAGAGGGGTTCCCCCAAAGAGGCTGGCCCAGAGACCATTGATTGGGCCTCACAAATCTACATCGAGCCATCGTCCAAACTAGTAGCCTGCTTAGGGCCAGGGACATCATATGCTTTGCACCCCCTGTACACTACATTACAAAGATCAGCCAAGGCTCCCAGAGAGGTTGACTCCAAGCAATTGCTACAATGGACCTAAAACCCCCAAACCACTAGTAGACCGTCACTTGCATTGCCACCCAATAGTAAACTTGGAAGGTTGGATAGGCCAGGCCTCCTAGATGAGGGGGAAGATGTAATGTAGATTTAGTACAAACCTTAAAAAGAAAAAAAATTATCCTATATACAGTATATGAGGAGGAGAGCTCACCACAAACTCCACCATCAAAAATATTCCTTACATAAAAAAAAATGGCTTTGGCTCAACATCTCAGACCCAGACAATTAGAGTATCAAGAAAAACTTTTGTGATTTAAATATTGACAGAGTTCATTGACTGCAATAATAAAATATTAATTAAAATAACACATAAACATATTTACATAAACCCTGTATAAAAGAATGTTATGGGTCAGAGGTCATGACCATGGATCTAGTGGATCAAGTATCATTTATACATAATATGTTTCATTAATCATCATATTCTATCAATTGAACTGAGAGCTCTCAGAGAAGACGGACAGAAAGAAGTGAAGAGATATGTATGAGAAAAAGGTGGCCACTTAAAAAGTGCAGCTGCTGTATTCTTATATCTCCCCCCCCCCCCCAATGTTCAACTTGTATCAAAATATGCTGAATGGACAATACATCTCTGAACTGTAGTATAAACCAGAATGGACACTGGTATGGTAGACTTGGAAACAATCAACTAGTAATTTCACTGGATAGATTGCATTTAAGCCATCTTGGATGGATACAGTTGCAAGAAAAAGTATGTGAACCCCTTCGAATTACGTGGAGTTTTGTATGAATTGGGCATAAAATGTGCTCGGAACGTCATCTAAGTCACAACAATAGAAGAACACAGTCTGCTGAACATAATACTACACAAAACATTAGATGTTGCCATGGTTTCATTGCACATAACATGTAAACATTCACAGTGCAGGGAGGAAAAAGTATGTGAGGCCCTAGCTTAATGACTTCTCCCAGAGCTAATTGGAGCCAGGAGTGAGCCAACCTTGACTCCAATCAGTGTGATGATATTGGATGTGTTGCTGACAGCTGTCCTGCCCTTAAAAAACACACACCTGTTTTGGGTTTACTGGTTTCAAGAAGCACTGTCTGATGTGAACCATGCCTCGCAGAAAAGAGCTCTCAGAAGACCTACGATCAAGAATTGTTGACTTGCATGAAGCTGGAAAGGGTTACAAAAGTATCTCCAAAAGCCTTGATGTTCATGTGTCCACGGTAAGACAGACTGTCTACAAATGGAGAAAGTTTAGCACTGTTGCTACTCTCCCTAGGCGTGGTCGTCCTGTAAAAATGACTGCAAGAGCACAGTGCAGAATGCTGCATGAGGTAAAGAAGAATCCCAGAGTGTCAGCTAAAGACCTACAGAAATCTCTGGCACATGCTAACATTTTTGTTGACACATCTACAAGAAGGAAAATATTAAACAAGAATGGAGTACATGGGAGGACACCACGGAGGAAGCCATTGCTGTCCAAAAAGAATATTGCAGCACGTTTGAAGTTTGCAAAAGAGCACCTGGATGTTCCACAGCACTACTGGCAAAATATACTGTGGACAGATGAAACCAAGATTGAGTTGTTTGGGAAGAACACACAACACTATGTGTGGAGAAAAAAAGGCACAGCACACCAACATCAAAACCTCATCCCCACTGTAAAACATGGCGGAGGGAGCATCATGGCTTGGGGCTGCTTTGCTGCCTCAGGGCCTAGACGGATTGTTATCATTGATGGGAAAATGAATTCCAGAGTTTATCAAGACATTTTGCAGGAAAACGTAGGACCATCTGTCCGCCAACTGAAGCTCCGCAGAGGATGGGTGATGCAACAGGACAATGACCCAAAGCATACAAGTAATTCAACAAAACAATGGCTGCAACAGCACAGAATACGCCTTCTGGAGTGGCCCAGTCAGAGTACTGACCTCAACCCGATTGAAATGCTGTGGCAAGACCTTAAGAGAGCGATTCACACCAGACATCCCAAGAATATTGCTACACTGAAACAGTTTTGTGAAGAAGAGTGGTCCAAAATTACTCCAGATCGTTGTACAGGTCTGATCTGCAACTACAGGAAATGTTTGGTTGAGGTTATTGCTGCCAAAGGAGGGTCAACCAGTTATTAAGTCCAAAGGTTCACATACTTTTTCCTAGTGAAAAAAAAGGGAAAAAAAGGGGGAGAGAACAATGTTCTTGGACAACTTGCCAGCCAGCTTGCTAACAACCAAATTAACCTGTCTAACAGTATGCGTTTATAACAGGGGTTTAGTTAGCACACATTTGCAAATACATACGTAAGCCACAGAGCCACGACACGGCACCCTGATCATCTGTGGTCCTAACTCTAAAATTTGTGAGTCCCCATAGTAGAGGCACATGCATTTAATGGATAGATCAAGGGCAGGTGGACCTGAGGGAGCCACCCCTCTTAAAGGCAAAGGAGTGCACTGGACCCCAGCATGTAGCACAATGGCAAC